AGGATTGTGTGACAGTGGCCCTCGCCTAGCGGCTACCCGGACAGTCCCTGCCTTGAGGAGCAGGCAGTCTAACAGGGCGGGAGCTAGAAAACGCCGGCCAGACTGTCCACCCCTACTCCGCCCTGCCCACGCACAGTGCAGGGGCATCAATGTGAGTAACCCGGGTCACGCCGGCACGTAACTAGCATGCCCGAGCCAGCTGCCTGCGGTCACCCCGATCTCCGTGCGTGGGCAGGAGGCCCGCAAGAGGGCAGGGCGGAGGAGGGGTGGACAGTCTGGCCGGCGTTTTCTAGCTCCCGCCCTGTTAGACTGCCTGCTCCTCAAGGCAGGGACTGTCCGGGTAGCCGCTAGGCGAGCGCCACTGTCACACAATCCTATTCGCCACGAAGGGTTAAACTCCCGAGTCACTGCCTGGGGTGGCGGGTCTGGTCCGGTCTCCCCCGGGTAGCAGCACAGAGCAATCGGCGCTCAGCTCCTCCCTGCAGGGCCTGCTCTCTGACTGCCTCTCCCTTCCTTTGCCATGGCCTCCTCTAGCCCCGCCCCGAGGGCCCGCTCTTTGGAGGAGACTTGCCAGGCCCGCGGCTGCCGACAGGAACGAGATCACTCTGCTGTGGAAGGTAGGGGGCTAAGCGAGGGCCCAGCCTGGGAAGGGCCAATGCCAGGTGCCCCAGAGAGCGTGAACAGAGCAGGGAGTCATCCAGTGAGCCCTCCCCTGTGGACCATTCCCAGCCTCTGGCAAACAGAGACCAGGGACGCCCCCTCCACCCATCCTGGCTAATAGCCACTGATGGACCAAACCTCCATGAATCTTTCTAGTTCTTCTTTGAACTCTGCTAAAGTCCTGGTCTTCACAACATCCTCAGGCAAGGAGTTCCACAAGTCGACTGTGCTGAGTGAAGAAATACTTCCTCTTGTTTGTTTGAAACCTGCTACCTTCATTCCTAGGTGTGCAGGGTTGCACTCAGCCGTATTAAAACGCATATCGTTTGCTTGCACCCTGCTTACCAAGCAACCTAGATTATTCAGTGTCTGTGATCTGCCTTCTTCCTTACTGGCCACTCCCCCAGCTGTACGGCAGCTGCCAGCTTTATCAGCGATGACCTTGTGTTCTCATCCTGCCAGCGACCAAAGCGCTTACATAGCTCAGGGCCAAGGACCCCCCTAGAAACCCCCCCACGTGCTGCTGACTCTGTTTGCAGTTAGGAGGCAATGGAAGATGAGCGCGCTCCTTTGGGCTGGTTGGTTTTCCTTGGTAGCGGAAGGGGTTTCTCAGGATAAAATGGACGTTTTTGCAAAAGGTTTCCATTTCTGTCCAAAGCAATTGCAGCTTTTCATCGGGACTCTGAGACTCCAGAGGGCTTTTTAGTGAACCCCCAAATCCTGGGGGGAGGAGAGTCATTTCTCAGTCAGCTCTGCCCTGTCCCTCAGTCCGGTGCTAGTGGGGGAGCGCAGCCCCCCCGTCTCCCTGCCGCTTTCTCCCCTG